AGATTATTCATTCATTTAGCAATTCAGCAATCACCGCTGAATGTCTACTACAGCCCAGGCACCATGTAAGACATATGTGCCCCTGCCCTCAAGGGTTCACAGCCTAATAGAAGAGACAGATGTTAAACAGATAACCATGCAAATGACATAATTATATTTGTGGAAGTTCGTTGTGGCAAAGACAGGCATCCCAATATTTCAGGTGCTCCCCTACATTTTCTAGCTTCCCTTACAGTCACATGACTAGTTCTGACCAATGTGCTGTGTGTAGGAGTAACAGGCTGAAGCAATGGAGAGCTGGTGAGTCTCATCCCTCTCTTCCCCTGCCACAGTCACTTTGGAGCCACGAGTTCCCTTAGCTACAAGCTAGAGGAGAACCACCAGATCCACCCTGGATTTCATTGAGCAAGAAATTAAGCTTCTTGTGCTGTCTTTCAGATTTGGACTTTGTCTGGTAGATAGTGTTAATTCCCATGACTAAGGAAAACTTGCCACCAGAGAAGGGAGGAAAAATATTCTCCACCATTAATGAGGTCATGTCAGTCTGCTGCATTACAAACCCCAAACAGTGGTTTATGATTCTCCGGGTTGGCAATTTGGGTTGGATTCAGCTGGGTCACTCCTGCAGCTGAAGGCAGCAAGCAGCTCAAATGTCTACTTTTGCAGGAAGGTTTTTCTCTGCTCCACGTGGCCTCAGCCTCCAATAAGCATAGTCCACTCCTTCCTATGGTGGTCTCAGGGTTTCAGAAAGCAACAAGAGAGGACAAACTCCAATGTTCAAACTGCACTAGTGTCAAAGCATTTCAAATAGCATGTCAAATTCCATGTCAAATTCAGGATGCAGGCAAATAGATTATTTCTCTTTATGGGAGATGGAAATAATGTGCGGTCTTGTTTTTCAATATACAGTGGTCCACTTATCCGATGGGATACATTCCAAGACCCCCAGTAGATGCCTGAAACCACAGATAGTACGGAATCCTGTATATATCATGTTTTTTTCCTATCTATACATACCTACAATAAAGCCTAATTTGTAAATTAGGCACAGTAAGAATAAATAACAATAACAATAGAACAGTTATAACAGTATATTGTAATAAAAGTTATGTGAATGTGGTCTCTCCTATTGTACTGTACTCACCCTTCTTGTGATGATGGGAGATAATGAAATAGCTGCATAATGAGATGAAGGCAAATGAATGACATGGGCATTGTGATCTAGTGTTAGGCTACTACTGATCTGCATTTTAAACAAGCACCCCAGGGATGGATGATACTTCAGGAGAATCATCTCCTTCAGGTGATCCAACATCATGAAGCCGTGACAGTGTCCATGGTTGGATGTCAGGAGCAAATGATGTTGATGATTAATGGTGGTTAACGTCTACAACCTGGATACAGTGGACAAAGGGATGATTCACCTCCTAGGTGAAATAGTGCAGGATGGCGTGAGACTTCATCATGTGGTTGGCTGCAGGCAACTGAAACTGCAGAAGGTAAAACCACAGATCATGGGGGCAGGGGTGGGGAATTACTGTACAGCATGAGCTACCAAATAAGATGATCACTGTGCACCTAAAACTGTCCCTACAGGTTGTGTGCCCCTGGGAAAATTGCTTGGTGTCTCTGGATCCCCTCTCTTCCCCTTCTCTCTGCATGGCTAAGCCCTGCCCATCACTTGAGGCTGAACCTAAAGCTCTGCCTGACCGCTAAGCCCTCAGAACAGGGTTTCTTTTTCTTTTTTTTTTTTTTTAAAGACAGGGACTCACTCTGACACCCAGACTGGAGTACAGTGGTATGATCATAGCTTGCTTAAGCCTTGAACAACTGGGCTCAAGCTATCCCCCAACCTCAGTTTCCTGAGTAGCTAGGAGTACAATTGAGTACCACTACACCTGGCTAATTGTTTTTTTAAATGTTTTGTAGCGACAGGGGCCTCACTATGTTGCCCAGGCTGGTCTTGAATGCCTGGCCTTAAATAATCCTCTAGCCGTCTCCCAAAGCACTGGGGTTACAGGCAGGAGCCCCTACCCCCAACCAGATCATTTCTCAAATGTGATTGGGTGATCTGCATCCATCCCTGGGGTGCTTGTTTAAAATGCAGATCCCTGGACCCTCCCCCAACCGATTCAGTCAGAACATCTGGAGTTCCGCATCTTAACAAGCTCCCTAGGTGATGCTGCTGGGCCTCCAAGTTGGAGAACCTCTGTAGTTGAAGAAATCCAGACTCCTTGGGGACTCAAATCTTATTTCAGCTCTTCTTTGGATTAGTTTGACTTCAGCCTATGTGTAAAATGGGTACACATTTTACATGTCTGTGATGCCAGGATGCACTCACAGGGGAGAGAGGGCTTTACAAGAGGTCAGAATCTAAGCCACCACTACAGTTGTACCAGATCCACGGAGAAAGACAGCCAGGCCTCATTTCCTCATGGTTCTCTCTTCCCTTACCTAGCTTTATGGTTCTTCACAGCACTTAGCACCACCAGGCTGTGCATTTTTGAGTTTGAGTTTCATAAAGCCAGGGACTATGTTTTGTTTAGAACTGTCCCCCAGTTCCTAGAACAGTGCCTGGTACACACAGGTGCTCAATAAATGTTTGTGGAATGACTGAATGAAAGTTGTTCCTGCATAGATTCCACCTGCCTAGAGCAAAGCCAGGACACGGATTGGGATGAGCACATAGCATATGCCAGACATGGCTCTGAGTGCTTTACCTGCATCATCTCACTTCATATGTGACAGCCAAATGGCCCCCAGTGACTTTCACCAACTGGTATTCACGCCTTCGTATAGTTCCCTCCGACCCTGAGCTGGGCTGAGCAGTGTAAATGATATTGTAAAATGAGAAAGTATGACTTTTAAGGTTAGGTCATAAAATATGTTATGGCTTCTGCCTATAATCCCAGCACTTTGGGAAGCCAAGGAGGGTGGATCACTTGAGGTCAGGAGTTTGAGACCAACCTGGCCAACATAGTGAAACCTCAACTCTACTAAAAATACAAAAATTAACCAGGCGTGGTGGCGTGCACCTGTAGTTCCAGCTGCTGGTGGTGGTGGTGGGGGGGGGGGTGGTGTTGAGGCAGGAGAATCACTCCAACTGGGGAGGTGGAGGTTGCAGTGAGCCAAGGTTGCACCACTGCACTCCAGCCTGGGTGACAGAGTGAGACTCCATCTCAAAAAGGAAAAAAAAAAAGAAAAAAAAAAAAAAAAAAAAAAAAGAGTTTTCAAGCAAAAATTGAGCACATTTATCACCAGACAACTATCCCGATGGAGAATTCTAAAATAGCAGTTCTGAAACTTGGCTTCTCATTGCAAACACCAGAGAACTTAACAAAAATTCCTGACACCTGGCTCCTATCCTCAGCCATTCCGAATCAATTGACATGAGATGTGGCTTAAGCAACAGTTTTTTTCCCCACTTGGCAACATCCTTTTACAGAAGGCAAGCAACAAGATTTTTTAAAAGCTTCCCAGGCTTTGGTCAGGTGTAGTAGCTCATGCCTGTAATCCCAGCACTTTGGGAGGCCTAGGTGGGAGGATTGCCTAAGCTCAGGAGTTCGAGACCACCCTGGGCAACATAGTGAAATCCTGTCTCTACTAAGTACAAAAAATTAGCTGGCCATGGTGGCATGCACCTGTATTCCCAGCTAGTCGGGAGGCTGAGGCACGAGAATTGCTTGAGTCCCAGAGGCAGACGTTGCAGTGAGCCGAGATTTTGCCACTGCACTCCAGCTTGGGCTACAGAGTGATACTCTGTAGCGCCCCCCACCCCAAAAGAAAGCGTCCCCAGGCTATTCAAATGTACAAAATGTACAGCCAAGGTTGAGAAACATTGTCTAAAGGGATGTGTTTCAGGCAAAAGGAAAATTATCCCAGATGAAGGTCTGAGAGTCATTCATTCATTCAACATAGGGAGCTTCCATTATGTGTTTGGAACTGTTCTAGACACCAGGAACACAGCAGTGAGCAAAACAGACCAAAGTCCCTGCCCTCTAGGAGAGGAAAACAGGCCCAAAACAAGATAAATAAGTAAAATATGCTCCGTTAGACAGTAATAGATGCTGAGAAGAAACAAAAGAAGCCAGGAAGGCGGATGTGAAATGCTGGTTACATGTGTGTCTGTGAAATTTCAGATGGAGTAGCTAGGGAAGATTTTTGGGTAAAGGCCAATATGAAGGGAAGAAGCGAGTCATGCAGACGTTTGGGTTACGGCAGGTGCAAAGCCCTAAGGCGGGAGTGTGTCTGGCTTACTCCAGGACCAGCAGGCCAATGGGACTTGAGTGAGGCAAGGGCAGGGCAGTCAGCTACCGAGACAGAGGTCGGGAGGCAGTTTGCAAGCCCCGGGGAGGATCTCGGTTTTTGCTTTAAGTGAGATGAAAGTATTTGAGTGGGGGAGTGGCATGAGTTTGATTTACATTTTAACTGGACTCAGCTGGGTGGAAATGAACAGTAGGGGGCAAAAGGAGAAGCAAGGAGCCCCAGGAGGAGGCTGGTTCAGGACACCCGAGATGACGGAGCACTGATGGAGCTGGAGCGGGATGGGGCTGGAGGCGGTGAGGGATGAGATTCTGCAAGTGGAGCCGGCAGGATCTGCTGATCGATGGGACGAGGAGTGGGAGAAAAATTAAAGCAGGGCAGGAGGCAGACGAATGCAAACTTCACCCACAGCTCAATGAAAAGACAGTAACCGCTGAGAGGCAGCGTCGGACCTGGGGCCTGGATTCAAACCTCAGCTGAGTGGCCTTGGACAGGTCATCAACACACAGAGCCTTCGTGTATGCAACTGCAAACTGAGCCAAGGACCGGGCCTGCCCCGCGGTGTGCCTGAAGCTTGGGTGGGCAGGCGCCGGGCTCGCAGGGCACGCTCCCAACCAGTCCCCAGCGGCTCAACGCTGCGGGTCCCGCTGCCCTCCAGCCCGGGCTCCAGCTCCTGCTCAGGCTCCGGCTCCTGCTCCTGCCCGCCGCCCAGCACCAGCCCCCGGCTCCGCCCACCCCGCCTCCCGGCCCCGCCCCCTCGGGCGGCGCTGCAGCGTGACGGACAGGGTGAGCCTGGGGGTGTCCGGGGATCGGCGGTCAGCTCCGGAGGACGGGGTGGGGTCGCCCCGAACAGGAGCGCCGGGACTGCTGGGACCCCGCGCTCGGGCAGTGGGGGTCCCGGATGAGGCGACAAGTTTTCCGGTCCCCTTCCCAGTCCCGCCCCACTTCCGGGGCCGCCACTTTCACTTTCTTTTCCGCGGAAGCCGCTCTCCTTGCGAAGGACTGGGGCCTCCCGGGAGGAGGGGGCTTTGCCTTGAAACCCGGGACGCCAGGGGCGCTCCCGCAAGTGGGGGTCCTCCGGGACTTGGAGCGCCCCTGCTGGGCGGCGTCCCGGCGTCCTTTCCTCGCTTCTCCCCACCTCGGCTGGTCTCGTTTCCTCTTGCGCCCATTGCGGACTTGTCTGGGCATCCCCTGCCCTCTCACCGCCCCACGCGGGGTCCTGGGCTGGTCCCCGGGCGGTGTGATGCTTCCCGACTGCCGCGGGTACAACGAGGCACAGACAGGGCTTGGGCCGCGCCGGAGGCCACAAGGCCTGGCTGAGTTGTTCCTGGTGTCCCGCCCCTCCCAGGCGACCCGGAGGTAGCGTTTCCCGGAGCCACGGCCCCCCCCCCCCCAGGGGGATGGGCGCAGCCACGACAGATGGACGAGAAGACCAAGAAAGGTGGGCACAGGCCGGAGGTGACTGGGGAACGTCCAGTGGGAAGTGGGCCCCGCAGGACCTGGCCCTTCCTGCCCAGAAGGGCCTGGGTGAGGGGACTTTAGCCTGCCCTCTCTCTGCCCGCCTCCCATCAGCTTCCCCCTTTGGGACCTGCTGGCTTCCAGAGGCATCTTGGGGCCCTGAGACCTCCTTGGGCCAGCTCTGTGCTGAGATGGGGCTAGGGGACTCCCAGAGGACACAGGGCATCGAACTTGGAGACTTCCTGGGCTGGTGGGGGACGGAACTCAGCTAATCTGAGTAGCAGGGGTCCTTGCCTCTTCTTTTTCCCCCTGCATCTAGGGTTGTAGAACAGAGGTCAGTCCCTGCCTTGCTGGAAGCCCTCCCATTCCCCTCTGTGTTCTTAGAACAAAGCCCAGAGCGCCTGGGTGGCCCATAGGACAGCTCTCCTCAGTCACCCCGCTATGCTCACTCTAGTGGAGCCCCACTGGCTTCCTTCGGTTCTCATCCAACCATTTCTTGCCCAAGGCCCTTACTCTTCTTTCCACTTGGACCACTCTTCCCCACTGGGACTTGACACGTGCGGCTTCTCCTCCTTCAGGTCTCAGCTTCAGTGTTACCCCCTCCCAGAGGCCTTCCCTGGTCTTAACCTGTTTATTTCCCTGCCAGCAAGGATCACAATCTGACTTTTTTTTTTTCTTGTTTAACTTGTTTTTTGTCTCCCCACTGGGCAGGGAGATCCCTAAGGAGAGGGACCCTGTTTATCTAATCACTGTGGGATCCCAGTTCCTGGGACAGTGGGTGGCACACAGTAAGAGCTCAATAACTGCTTGCTGGATAAATGAATAGAAGTTTGAGGGACCCTGGGAATATGAAGGACAAACAGAACCAAATGAGCCTAGAGTGAGGAGGAGTGGGGAATATCAGAGAACCTCTCCCAGAGAAAGGGACTTTGAGTCACTGAAGGATGTGTAGGAGTTTACCAGGAAGACAGAGAAAGCAGCACAAAGATCATCTTCTTTCCTGCCCCATTAACCCCAGCTCCTGAAAATAAACCTGTGCTTAATTGGCTCCTGCTGTGCTGGCTTTTAGCAGAGGAAATGGCCCTGAGCCTCACCCGAGCCGTGGCAGGCGGGGATGAACAGGTGGCAATGAAGTGTGCCATCTGGCTGGCAGAGCAACGGGTGCCCTTGAGTGTGCAACTGAAGCCTGAGGCCTCCCCGACGCAGGACATCAGGTGAGGAGTGCACGGCTGGCCTGAACCCTAGGGGCAGCAGGACAGGACATTCTTGCCTGTAGAACAGTTCTTCCTAATGGCAGGTGCTGGCCTCAGGAGGCGTGGCTTCTAATCCTAATTATGTCACTAATCAACTGTGAGATAGAGGGCAGGTCACTTCACCTCTTGGAGTGTCCTCATTTTAAAAATTGGATCGTAACAGTAGCTATCTCATAGGGTTGTTAGGAGATATACCATATTAGGATGTTGGGCCTTATACAACAGAAAAAAAGGTAACAGTGATGTAAAGAAATTTGATGTCAAGAGAGTCCATATGGGGAGGTTCTGCTCCCCACAGTCCTCAGAGGCTCATGTTGCTTCTCTCACTATTCTGCCATTAACTCCCAGATTCCTCAGGTGCAAAATGGCCATTCCAGCTGCATCCAGCCATCACATCAGGAGGAAGGGAAGAAAGGCACCCCTCCATACTCCTCTAAAGAACATAGCTCAAAAGTTGTACACTCTTCTTCCATTAATTCCTATGGACCAGAACTGATTCCCACAGCTATGGTTCAGCTTTAGGGGATTCTGTATAGCCAGATATTCATCTAGAATAGTAAAGCAGTAGTTTTATAGTTTCTGATTTTCAATTCTCTTGGTGGGTCCCATTTGATTTTTCTTAAAACAGTTTATCCATACAATTCAGCCATTTAAAGTATATAGTTCAATGGCTTTCAGTATATTCAGGGTTGTGCAACGATTGCCACAATCAATTTTAGAACATTTTCATCATCCTGTAAAAAAAAATCTGATACTCATTAGCAGTCAGTCCCTATCACTCTACCTTCTCCCTAACCCCCTAACCTTAGGCAACCACTAATCTACTTTTTATCTCTAGGGATCTTCCTTTTCTGGAAATTTTATATAAGTTGAATCATGCAACATGTGGCCTTTTGTGTCTGGCTTCTTTCACTTAGCATCATGTTTTCTAGATTCATCCATGTTGTGGCAGGTATAATAACTTCATTCCCCTTTTTTTTGACAAGGGATCTCACTCTGTTGTCCGGGCTGAAGTGCAGTGGATTACAGTATATTCAGGGTTGTGCATATGTGTCTAGGTTGAAGTGCAGTGGACGCGATGGATTACATCGCTCACTACAGCCTGAACTTCCCGAGCTTAAGCAATTCTCCTGCCTTGGCCTCTCTAGTAGCTGGGACTATAGACATATACCACACCCAGCTAATTTTCTAAAAATTTCTTGGTAGACAAGGTCTTGCTGTGTTGCCTAGGCTGGTCTTGAGCTCCTGGCTCAAGCAATCCTCCCACCTCAGCCTCTCAGAGTGCTGGGATTATAGGTGTGAGCCACCATGCCCAGCCAGAACTTTATTCCTTTTTATTGCGAAATAATAATCTATTTTATGGACATACCTCATTATCTTTACTCATTAAATTAGTCGATGAACATTTGGATGTTTCTATTTTTTGGCTTTTATAAATAATGCTACCCCGAACATTTGTGGCCAACTTTTTGTGCGGACATGTTTTCATTTCTCTTGGGTATATACTAGGAGTGAAATTTTTATGTTTAACCCATTGAAGAACTGCCAGACAGTTTTCCAAAGTAGCTACACTACTTTACATTCCTACCAGCAAGTATGAGGTTTCTAGTTTCTCCACATCCTCTCTTACACTTGTTGTCTTTTTGATTATAACCATCCTAGTAAGTTTGAAGAGTTATCTCATTATGGTTTTGATTTGCAATTTTCTAACCATTTGATGACAAATGATGTTAAGCATCTTTTCTTGTGCTTATTTGCCATTTGCATATTTTCTTTAGAGGTTTGCCTATTCAGGTCTTTTGCCCATTTTTAAATGGGTTTATCTTTTCTTTGTTTCTTTCTTTCTTTCTTTCTTTTTTGAGATGGAGTCTCACTCTGTGACTCAGGCAGGAGTGCAATGGCATAGTCTTGGCTCACTGTAACCTCTGCCACTTAGGTTCATGTGATTCTCCTGCCTCAGCCTCCCGAGTAGCTGGGATTACAGGTGCCTACCACCACACCCAGGTAATTTTTGTATTTTTAGTAGAGATGGAGTCTCACCACGTTAGCCAGGCTGGTCTTGAACTCCTGAGCTCTGGTGATCCACCCTCCTTGGCCTCTCAAAGTGCTGGTATTACAGGCATGCGTCACCGCGCCTGACCAGGCTTATCTTTTCATTATTGAGTTGTAGGAGTACTTTATTCATTTTAGATACAAGTGCCTTATCAGCTACATGATTTACAAAATTCTTCTCTCATTCTGTGGGTTGTCTTCTCACTTTGTTGATGGTATCCTTTGAAGTACATAAGTTTTAAATGTTGATGATGTCCAGTTAGTCTATGTTTTCTTTTGTTGTTTGTGCTTTTGGTGTCATATCTAAGAAATCATTGCCTCATTCAAGGTCATGAAGATTTACCTCTATATTTTCTTCTAAAGGTTCTATAGGTCTAGCTCTTACATTAGGTCTTTGGTCCATTTTGATTTAATTTTTGTATATGATGTGGGATAAGGGTCCAGCTTCATTCTTAAGCATGTAGATATTGAGTTGTGCCACCACTATTTGTTAAAAAGATGATTTTCCCCTGTTTAATGATCTTAACCCTTTTTGAAAATTAATTGACCATAAATATGAGTGCTTATTTCTGGATTCTCATTTCTATTCCATTAAACTATAATATATGTCTGCCCTTATGCCAGTACCACACTGTTTTGATTACTATAGCATCATAGTATTTGAAATCAGAAAATACAAGTTCTCCAACTTTAGTTCTTTTTCAATATTGTTTTGGTTATTACAAGCCTCTTGAATTTTCATATAAATTTTAAGATCAGCTTGTCTGTTTCTGCAAACAACAACTATGATTTTGGTTGGGATTGCATTGAATCTGTAGATCATTGGCCACTTGATTTTAAACAAAATATTGATATATCTACTTCTTGAAATGGTTGTTTGAGACAGTACCTGTGTGTGGCCGGGTGCGGTGGCTCACGCCTGTAATCCCAGCACTTTGGGAGGCTGAGGTAGGTGGATCACGAGGTCTGGAGTTTGATACCAGCCTGACCAAATGGTGAAACCCCATCTCTACTAAAATTACAAAAATTATCCAGGTGTGGCGGCCTGTGCCTGTAATCTCAGCTACTCAGGAGTCTGAGGCAGGAGAATTGCTTGAACCTGGGAGGCAGAGGTTGTGGTGAGCCGAGATTGTGCCACTGCACTCCAGCCTGGGCAACAGAGTGAGACTCAGTCTCAAACAAACTAACAAACAAAAAATAAAAACAAAAACAGACAGTACCTATGTACTCCTTGCTGTGAAAAATGAGGAAGTTAACATTCTCATCTTCCACCTTTCCTTTTCCTGACTTTTTTTGTTGAAGTATCATAGTGGATGCTTTCCCAGTTGACTTCCACTTGATCCCCTGGAGTTTCCTCTGTAAAATGTACGGTGTCATCCACCATCTTGCTACTGAAGTGTGGCCTGTGGACCGTAACATGGGCGGAATCTCAGGTCCCACATCAGACTTGCTGGATCAGAACCTGAGTTTTGAGAGGCTCCAGGCAATCAGCATCTCTCAGACCTGCTGTTGGGTTCTCATTGATGGACCCAATGCTTCCTAGTAAATGATACCTATTGTATGTGTTATTGTTAATAAGATAGTTTAGTTAGCTATTACATTAATCAATAAAGTATGAGTGCTGAAAGAGTTGTTTCTGTGAAAAGTAAGCTGACTGCTTTCAAAAGACGAGACAAATCACCAAAAAAAAAAAAAAAAAAAAAAAGATTAACATTTTTGGGTGAGACAGTAGTAAGGAAATACGGTAAAAATCCAGAAGGGACTGCCGGGCGCTGTGGCTCAAGCCTGTAATCCCAGCACTTTGGGAGGCCGAGGCGGGTGGATCACGAGGTCAAGAGATCGAGACCCTCCTGGTCAACATGGTGAGACCCCATCTCTACTAAAAATACAAAACATCAGCTGGGCATGGTGGTGCGTGCCTGTAATCCCAGCTTCTCGGGAGGTTGAGGCAGGAGAATTGCCTGAACCCGGGAGGTGGAGGTTGCGGTGAGCCAAGATCGCGCCATTGCACTCCAGCCTGGGTAACAAGAGTGAAACTCCGTCTCAAAAAAAAAAAAAAAAATCCAGAAGGGCTCTGTGCTCTCTTGCTTCGGGAATGTGTCTATAAGCTCTTGCTCACTTTAAAGAAGCTGGTACTAGAAATTATAGATCATGATTATGGATGTGTTTCATACAAAAAAAAAAAAGAAAAATACATGGGAAACTCCAGTCAGCAGATGTATACTCATCCTGGGCATGGTGGCTCAGCGCTTTGGGAGGCTGAGGCAGGATAATGGCTTGAACTCAGGAGTTTAAGACCAGCCTGGGAAACATAAATTAGCCAGGTTGGGTGGTGCCCACCTGTTGTCCCAGCTACTTGAGAGGCTGAGGCCAGAGGATTATTAGACTCCAGGTGGTCAAGGATGCAGTGAGCCATGATCATGCCTGAGTGACAAAGTGAGACCCTGTCTCAAAGAAAGAGAGAAAAGCCGTTGGCTGTACTGTCCAGTGAATGTGCATGTGTAGCATGTAAGTTAAAATTAAGTGTGTAAGCTTTGTCTGCAGCTGTTTTTGTGCTTCTCTGCTGCTCACTGGTGATCCTGATGTGACACTGGATGAGAGAGCCCCAGCTGTATTTTTGTGTTGATTATGTTAAGATTATAGCTTTTAAATTTTGCTTTCTAACATAATTAAGACTTCTATGCTTTGCCTCTAGGTTGATTCTAAAAGTGTAACACTACTAGAAAAGATTTATAGTATTTTGATTATGGAAATATTATTCACTATAGAATAACTAGTGCATTCGAAACCATATGCACTTTTGTTTCAAAACCCTTATTGCTGGAAGAACATTTTGGGTTTAAGATCCAGTCCTTTTCATTTTTTACTTTTCTTCTATTCTCCTGTATCAGACTCATCTATTTTTGTTTTTCAAGAACTTGTCATGTGGAAAATGTAGTAAACTTTTAGAGTCTTGCATATTTAAAAATTTCTATTTTTGCTCTCTCAGTTCATTGATAGTTGACTGGGTATTCAAATTGTTTACTTGAAGAATTTTGAGAGAGTTTTCTGGACTGCTTTTAAACAAATCTCAGATATTATTTTATCCTTAAATACTTTGGTATGTGTCTTCAAAAACTTAGGACTTGGCCGGGCACAGTGGCTCATGCTTGTAATTCGAGCACTTTGGGAGACTGAGGCAGGTGGATTGCTTTAACTCACCACAGTGAGGGCGGCACCAGACTGTGAGGGATTACAACACTGAGGATTACAGTTCGATATAAGATTTGGGCGGGGGCAAATACCCAAACTGTATCATGGTGTCATTTACTATCTCCCACTTTTCCTGTAACTGGTAGAGATGAAGTTTAGCGATAAAGGTTCGGTTAGCATCACTTTTAATGTCCGGAACTCTTCCTCAATTTTTGGTTGCGTCATGCCTTTTCTTGCTTTCTGCATGCAGTGTTTTCCCAAATCTCTCTGAAGGCACTAGTTAGACGACTGTTGCTTATTGTTCCATACCTTAAATGATCTCTGTTTCCCTTGGGATCACTTCTGTTTTTTCATCTTTTCATGGTTTTGGTTTTCCAAAAATCAAGTTGGAGGATCCTTGAGAAAGTTAAAACCACTTTCTCTGGAATAATACCACATGGATTTAAATCCTGCCTCTAGCTGAACACAGTGGCTTACTCCTGGAATCCCACTTTGGAGGCCAAGGCAGAAGGATCACTTGAGGTCAAGAGTTCAAGACCAGCTTTGGCAACATAGTGAGACCCTGTCTCTACAAAAACTTAAAAAATTATCCAGGCATGGTGGCATGAGCCTGTGGTCCCAGCTACTTGGGAGGCTGAGATGAGAAGATCCCTTGAGTCCAAGAGGTTGAAGCTGCAGTGAGCCAAGATAACACTACTACACTCCAGTCTGAGCCACAGAAAGAGAGCCTATGTCTTCAAAATAAATCAGTATGGCCAGGTGCAGTGGCTCACACCTGTAATCCCAGGTCTTTGGGAGGCTGAGGTGGGCGGATCATGAGGTCAGGAGTTTGAGACCAGCCTGACCAACATGGTGAAACCCCGTCTCTACTGAAAATACAAAAATTAGCCAGGCATGGTGGCATGTGCCTGTAGTCCCAGATACTCGGGAGGCTGAGACAGGAGAATTGCTTGAACCTGGGAACCGGAGGTTGCAGTGAGATTGCACTACTGCTCTCCAGCCTGGCGACAGAATGAGACTCCATCTCAAAATAAATGAATACAAGCATACATAGAAGTGAATCTTGCCTCTAACAGTGGTTAGTTGCTTAGTTTGGCAGAGTCACTGTAACCTATCTAACCCTCACATTTTTATCTGTAAAGCAGGGATACAGAAGTACCTGCCTGATGGGTTTGTTGAGAGGATTAAATGAGTTAATACACATTCAGTGCATTGAATAGTCTTAGCACATAGTAAACAACAACTTTTGGTGGTTTTACCAAGGAGCAGGGGAGAGAAGATAGGTTGGAGGGATCAGGGAGGTGCCAGATCATGGAGGCCCTTGTGTGCTGACATGAGTTGATTCTAAGAGTAGTGTGGAGCCATTGGAGGGGCCCAACTGGTGGATTCTAATAAGAGAGGATGCATGGGAATAGGGCCCCTACCCCAGACTGGGGGTTGTGTGCATATGTGTGTACATGTCCTTGTGCCTGTGTGCAGATATGTGCATGTCTGTAGCCAGTGGCTGAGGCTGGAGCCCTGGCCAGAGCCCACGCTGAGTCCCTGCTCTTCTCCGCAGGCTGTGGGTGAGTGTGGAGGATGCTCAGTTGCACGCCGTCACCATCTGGCTCACAGTGCGCCCTGATATGACAGTGGCATCCCTCAAGGACATGGTGAGTGAGGAGGCTGAGGGTGACACTGGGGTGGAGGCTCTCCCTTTTGCTCCTGCCTCCTCTCTGTCTTCTGGCCCTCCCTCCCCACCCTGCCTCTCTTGGTACCCCCACCAGGTTTTTCTGGACTATGGCTTCCCACCAGTTCTGCAGCAGTGGGTGATTGGGCAGCGGTTGGCACGAGACCAGGAGACCCTACACTCCCATGGGGTGCGGCAGAATGGGGACAGTGCCTACCTCTATCTGCTGTCAGCTCGCAACACCTCCCTCAACCCTCAGGAGCTACAGCGGGAGCGGCAGCTGCGGATGCTGGAAGGTGAGGCTCCGCCCCTGAGCACCATGGAACCCAGCGGGGGCCCTGGACTCACTTGAGGCCATAGGGCAAGCAGGGGTAGAGCCCCTGGGTTTTTAGTCAGGGGCTCACCCAGAGGACCCTATCCAAATGGGGAAGAGAGGACCTAAGACCCATGGGAGGGAGCATTTCAGGGACCCATCATGAGAACAGCTGGCATGGAGGGGCCAGATTCCGTCCAGGCTCTGGCATTCCCAGCTACGTGACCTTGGGCAAGTTTACTCCTATCTGCTGCCCAGTTTGCTAAAATCATAAATTGGGTACGACGATGATAATGATAACTAGTGTTTATTCTTAATTTTTAACTTCTGAAATGTTTCAGACCTACAGAAAAGTTGCCAAATTTTACAAAGTAGTGTATAAAGAATTCCCATGTATCATGTGGGTTTTACCACATTTGCTTTCTCCTGCCTCAGCCTCTTGAGTAGCTGGGACAACAGGCATGCACCACCACACCTGGCTAATTTTTTGTATCTACTAGAGATGGAGTTTCACCATGTTGGTCAGGCTGGTCTGGAACACCTGACCTAAAGTGATCCACCCACCTTGGCCTCCCAAAGTGCTGGGATTATAGGCGTGAGTCACCACACCCAGCCTTATCATCTCTTTCTATATAAAATTATTTTATTTTCTGAACCATTTTGAGAGTAAGTTGCAGATATGATGTCTTTTTCCCTAAATAATTCAGTGTGCATTTTCTTGAAAAGAAAGGTCATTTTCTTAAATTACTAGGTATAACATCCAACTCAGGAAACTATCATTGATACAGTACTGTTATCTAATCTACAGATCTTACTCAGATTTTACTATTTGTCTTACTATTGTAATTTATAGCAAAAGACCTGGCATTCAGCTGTCATGTCCGAGTCCCTTTCTTTTTTGACCAGTTTCTTTTTTTGTGGGGGTTGGGGGCTGGTTTCCTCTAGGATGGATGGAGTGGGAAGGGCTGCCTCAGTGGTGCTCTTGGGTCCCCTTGGTGCACCCTTCCGGAGGCACAAAAGGGTGGGTGTTATGCTGGATTTCGAAGCTCAGAGGATACGGAAGCATTTGTGGGTGGAATAGGGGCCCTGACCTTGGGGGAGCCAGGATGCCTACTTGACCAGATGGAGGCTGGAGATACCCCCAGGGAGGAGAGGATAGGGGAAGGGTCTGCCTGGCTGGCTCAGGGAGACCCACCCGCTATGAGTGTGGACCAAGTGGGCCGCATGGAACCACCACCCTTTAATTCTCCTCCACAGATCTGGGCTTCAAGGACCTCACGCTGCAGCCTCGGGGCCCTCTGGAGCCAGGCACCCCAAAGCCCGGGGTCCCTCAGGAACCTGGACGGGGGCAGCCGGATGCAGTGCCCGAGCCCCCACCGGTAAGCTGTCCCTGGCCACGCCTCCCTGGCCTCAGTATCCTCTTCTGTGCCTCTCCCCTGCCCTGCCCTGCCCAGTCTGGCTCACAGCCCTCTCCGCTCCCAGGTGGGCTGGCAGTGCCCCGGGTGTACCTTCATCAACAAGCCCACACGGCCTGGCTGTGAGATGTGCTGCCGGGCACGCCCCGAGGCCTACCAGGTCCCTGCCTCCTACCAGCCCGATGAGGAAGAGCGAGCACGCCTGGCTGGTGAGGAGGAGTCACTGCGTCAGTACCAGCAGGTGGGCGCGAAGTCCCTGGACAGACACCTGCAGACCGGACGGGGGAGGTGTAGGCCAGGAAGGGAGACACCTTCGCATTGCCGCTCCTCCCCGTTACTGCCTTGCCCCTCCTGACCATGCTGCTGGCAGTGACCCTGCACTTGCCTGTGACCTGCCCTCTCTCCAAGGTCACCCTGTCACCCTGTGGCTGAGACCCGCTCCCTGGCTGTGGCGCACATCCAAGTTTACATACCCTACTCCTGTGTGGGCTGTGGCTCCATCCCCAGCTTTGACACACCACACAAGTGTCCCTGGCTATGACCCCAGCACCCTAGCCATGACTACATCTCAGCTCGGACCTCACCCCCACCTATCTGTGACCTAAGCCTGCTCCACCTCGCTGGGACCTCACCCTGGACGCTGCTACTCCCGACCTCCTCCCTCTATGGCTTGGCCCAACCCTGACTTCCTGAGAGCCTGGCCTGACCCCTCACTGCTTCCTAGGGGGATGACCGCCATCCCTGGTCCTGCTCCTCTCTTAGCCCTCCCCCACCCCTATCGTGACACACGCCCTAATGACAGATATCTGATCCCGAGACCTCCCCATTCTAATCTTACCCCTGGCCGCACTTGCGTTCCCCTTGGACCCAGTGCTGCCCCTGCCCACCCCACTCCTGTTCCCCCCTCAGCCTTGCTGTGCTCCCTGGCTTTGTCACTTTCCCACCCCTGCCCTTGAGCTGGCTCCACCAGCCCTGGCCCCGACCCTGCCCTGTTATCCTGACTCACCACTCAGACCCTGGCCCCCTTCCTTTCTCTGCTGCCATTGCTCCCTCTCCTGGCGCCTTCCCTGGCTATCTGGCCGGCCCTCCCTCCCTTGGCTTCCCCACCTCCGCCTGGCCCCGCTCCCAGCCACCCCCCTCCCAACCTGACTGCTCCTGCCCACCCCATCCCAGATCCCCGATCCCCGCGTCCGACTGGCTCCCAGCTTTGCCTCCTGCTGCTCTGACTCAACCCTCACCACGCCCCCTGATCCTTTCCCCTTCGTGGTCTGACCCGCCCCCGAGGCCCTGACCCACCCCATGGCCCCGCCCCGTGTGCCCAGCGGAAGCAGAAGCAGCAGGAGGGCAACTACCTGCAGCACGTCCAGCTGGACCAGAGGAGCCTGGTGCTGAACACCGAGCCCGCCGAGTGCCCCGTGTGCTACGCGGTGCTGGCGCCCGGCGAGGCCGTGGTGCTGCGTGAGTGTCTGCACACCTTCTGCAGGTGCGGCCCCCAATCCCATCCCCGGCAATGCAGCGTTTATCAAAGCCGCCAATTACGCAGGGCTGGACGTGGGTGGGGCCCTGTGCTCTGATATCTCATTGGACGCCCGCGAAAACCTACGAGGTAGGCTCTGTCTCCCCATTTTGCAGATGAGGAACCTAAGGTACAGAGAGCCAGGCAGCTTACCCAAGGCCACATGGCTCGTAAGAGAAGCAGCCTAGACATGGACCCAGGCATGGGTGGAGGCACCGGAGCCTCCCTTCCCCTCTACCTTTAACTGCCGAGGCTCCTGCAGCCACGCTGCTCTCAACCTCGCGGCGGGCATCTGCCTGTTTCGAGTCTCCTGTCATGGCCCTTCCACCCCTGGATGTGGGGAGCACAGACCCACTCACCACAGCTGACGCTTGGGGAGCAGCCCCTGGGTGGCAGGCTCTGTGCCTGCCTTCTGCAATTTTAATTCCAGCAGGGAGGCCGATGTGAATTGGATAATCACTGGTTGATGTCCTTGTGAATATTGTCTACAATACAGTACATGAAATTGCTACATACAGTACATTAAGATACAACAGGAGTCCTTCCCAGAGAGGGTGGTCTAGAAGCTTCCAGGGAGGTAGCCTGAGAGCAGGGACTGGAAGGCCTGCTGTAGGTGTGAGCCTGGACTGTTGGAGGAGACTAAGGAGGTCTCTTGGTGGCTGGAGCAGAGGGATGAAGCGGGTAATCAGATATCAGGGTAGAGAGGTGTTGGGTCCATGAACAGTTGGGATTTGTTCTGGGTGGGATGGGGGCCACCAGGGAGATGTGGCTGCTGTGCTGAGATAGACTTTAGGGGCCAGATGGATGCAGGGAGCCCAGCAAGGAGGCTCCTGCAGTCACCAGGTGGGGGATGATAGGGGCTGGACCGGAGAATCAGAGCAGCAGTGTGGGGACAGGGTGGAGGCCTTGGTGGGATTGGTGAGAGGGATGGGAAGGAAGGGGATATGGAGGAGAAGCCCACCCGGGGTCAGGTCTTGCCATGTGAGAGGTGGAGTCCTCAGTGGATGGGGTTCCGATGACCCTCACTTTCCTCCCCTCCCCTCCCCCAGGGAATGCCTGCAGGGCACCATCCGCAACAGCCAGGAGGCAGAGGTCTCCTGCCCCTTCATTGACAACACCTACTCGTGCTCGGGCAAGCTGCTGGAGAGGGAGATCAAGGCGGTAAGGCCTGGGGATGGGAGATAATATCCCAAGTACCAAGGAGCTGAGCCCCAAGCAGGCAGGTAGGGACTGGCTCAGGCAGCAGACATCTTAACTTTTTTTTTTTTGGAGATGGGGTCTATGTTGTCCAAGCTGGTCTCAAACTCCTGGGCTTGCGTGATCATCCAACCTCCGCCCTCCAGACGTTTTTCAAGGGCTTTGTCTATGTAGGGTGCTGAGACCCGAAGCAGAAAAATTGAGGTGAGTAACTAGTCACGAAGCCATATTTATGAAGGAAAGACAGCAGAGTCGTTAAGAGTCAGGGACTTGGCCAGTCATGGCAGCTCACACCTCTAATCCCAGTACTTTGGGAGGCTGAGGTGGGCAGATTGTTTGAACTCACACAGACTAGCCTGGGCAACATGGCAAAACCCTGTCTCTCCAAAACAGATTTAAAAATAGCTGGGTGCGGAGGCATGCGCCCGTAGTCCCAGCTGCTTGGGCAGGGGTCGAGGGGGAATGGGCTAAGATGGGAGGATGGCTTTAGCCTGGGAGGTCAAGCCTGCAGCAAGCTGTGGTTGCGCTACTGCACTCCACCTGGGCAACAGAGTGAGACCTTGCCTCAAAAAAAGAAAAAAAAAAAAGGGGAAACTCTGGAGCCTGGTGGCCTGGGTATGTGACCACAAGTCAGATGTTTAACCTCTCTATGCCCCTATCTCATCTCTGTTAGAGTCAGAGTTACAGTTTCTATTTCCAGGATTACAAAGATTACAGTAGAGGACATGTGTATAGAATTTAGAGTAGCATGGCCAGGCGCAGTGCCTCACCCCTGTAATCCCAGCACTTCGGGAGGCCAAGACGGGTGGATCACCTGAGGTCGGGAGTTTGAGACCAGCCCGACCAACGTGGAGAAACCCATCTCTACTGGAAATACAAAATTAGCTGGGTGTGGTGGCACATGCCTGTAATCCCAGCTACTCAGGAGGCTGAGGCAGGAGAATCACTTGAACCTGGGAGGCAGAGGTTGCAGTGAGCCGAGATCATGCCATTGCACTCCAGCCTGGGCAACAAGAGCAAAACTCAGTCTTGAAAAAGAAAAAGAATTTATACTAGTGCTTGTCACATGGTAAGCCTTTATTGGAGTTAGCACTTGCTATGTAACAAATCACTGCAGGCTCAGAACAACAGTCATTTTTTTAGCTAATAAATCTGCAAGTTAGGACAGTTGGCCCTCTATCTGTGGAGAATTCACATTGGAGAATTCAATGACAGTGGATAGAACATATTCTTAAAAAAACAAAAAAAATTACAATGAAAAACAAATTTAAAAAACAATACAGCATAAACTACATAACATGTTATATTAGGTATTATAAGTAATCTGGAGATGATTTAAAGTACTGGAGGATGTTGGTAGGTTATATGCAAATACTATGTCATTTTATGTAAGGGGCTTGAGCATCCATGGATTTGGGTATCTGCAGGGATCTTGGAACTAATTCTCGGGATACTGAGGGATGACTCTAATTTGGGTTGGGCTTATCTCAATGGTTCTTCTGGTCTGGGCAGGGCCTCACTGATTTCACCTGGGTCTAGCTGGTGGGTGGCCTGGTTTATGATGGTCTCGTCTGGGATGACTGGGATGATGGGGCCTCCTTCAACTTCAGGGTCTCATCCACCAGCAGGCTGCCTCGAGCCTTCTCATGTCTTGGTGGTCTCGGGCTTCCAAGAGCAGCCATGGGGAGCCCCACGCGTGAGTGCTTTCTAAGTCTGCTCATTTCTCACTTGCCACTGTCCCATTGGCCATAGGACGACCTATGCTCAAGCCCAGAGTTCATTGGGAAGAGACTACCCAAAGGTGTGGAATCAGGGAGTCAGAAACAAATGGGAGTCACCACTCCGCCAGTCTGTCACAGCATGTGTGTTTCTGTGTACGTGTGTGCTTGCTGCTGGCACTCTTCATGAATTCATTAGCAGATTTTCTGTCTGGCTGCTAGTGATCTTGAGCAAGTTGTTTCCCTTCTCTGGGTCTCCATTTCCCCATCTGTTTGTTTTTTGTTTTTTTTTTGTTTTTTTTAGACAAGGTCTCACTCTGATGCCCAAGCTAAAGTGCAGCAGCACGATCTCAGTTCACTGCAACTTCCACCTCTCGGGTTTAAGCAACTTTCGTGCCTCAGCCTCCCAAGTAGCTGGGATTACAGGCACTTGCCACTGTGTCCAGCTAATTTTTGTGTTTTTAGTAGAAACAGGGTTTTACCATGTTGGTCAGGCTGGTGTCGAACTCCTAACCTTGTGATCTGCACGCCTCAGCCTCCCAAAGTGCGTGGGATTACAGGCGTGAGCCACCACACCTGGCGCCATTTCCCCATCTGAAAAGTGGACAGTTGGGCTTGATTCATGGTTTTTAAACTGCTGGGGAATGGCCTTCCCTGGGCATTGTGGGTCCCCATGCCAAAACATGGTGGCTGAGGTCCAAATGGGAAACCCCCACAAAACACATACACAAGATCTCCTCTTTATTCCCGTCCCTCCTGCCTCTCTCCTATGCCCCTGTTTCTCCTGAGAATGCTCCTAACTTCACCAAGTGTTTATGGAGCCCAAGAAGTTCTGCCCCAGGGGTAAAGTGGGAGGCAGAAGGGGTAGAGCTTTGGGAGTTCCCGGCTCTGACATCAAGGGCAGCCCCATTTTTCTCTGTCATCTCTGGGTAGTTACTGAAGTGTCCTTGCTCTGGCCTGGAGAGACCTCATGACCAGTCATTCTGTGTCCCCAGCACCCATAGTCACTTGCCTAGAGGTTTCCCTGTGCAGTCCACTCCAGCCAAGGGGCATTATGCTGGGACTGGGGTTCATGCAAGAGGGCTGCAGGAACTTCCCTGGAGCCCATTGACGTTGACGTGAATCTCAGAAAATGGTCAAGTGTGACAGAGAGAAGGGGGCAGCGATCAGCCAAGTAATGTGGTGGAGGTTGTTTTTACAAAAACAAAACAATATGCATAACCACATAGAACCAGAGCAGAAATCAAAGAGAATCACCCACAACCCCAGGAAATATTCCAGTTACATTTTAGTCTACTTTCTTCAGTGTCTCTGGGCAGATTGTTGTTTTTTTGTTTTTTGTTTTTTGTTTTTGGTAAGATGGAGTCTCGCTCTGTCATCCAGGCTGGAGCGTAGTGGTGTGATCTCAGCTCACTACAGTCTGGCCTTGTCAACCAGGCTGGAGTGCAATGGCACGATCTCGGCTCACTGCAGCCTCTGCCTCCTGGCTTCAAGCAAATCTCCTGCTTCAGCCTCCGGAGTAGCCGGGACTCTAGGCGAGTGCTGCCACACCTGGCTAATTTTTGTATTTTTAGTAGAGGCAGGCTTTCACCATGTTGGCCAGGATGGTCTTGATCTCCTGACCTCAGGTGATCCACCTACCAGGGCCTCCCAAAGTATTAGGATTATAGGCGTGAACTGCTGTGCCCACCCAGATATGGTTTTTTAAGTCAACTTTATTGACGTACACTTTGCCTACAATAAAATGTATTCGTTGTAAGTAGACAATCAGATAAATTTTGACAAATGTAACTCATGTAACCACCAGCCACTGTTACGTATAACATAGGCATGATTTCTGCCTCATTGTACCAGCATGGATACAATCACTTTAGCTTTTTAAATTTTGCTGTAGAATTTTTCTAAAGATTATTTACTAATCTCAATGGCATGTATACTGTTTTTATCTCTTAGTTCTAATTTCTCAGTTTATAATACTGCTTCAAGGAACATTTTGCATGGTGCATTTTTTTTTTTTTTTTTGAGATGAAGTCTCACTCTGTTGCCCAAGCTGGAGTGCAGCGGCACTATCTTGGCTCACAGCAACGTCTACCTCCCTGGTTCAAGTGATTCTCCTGCCTCAGCCTCCTGAGTAGCTGGGATTACACGCATGCACCACCACACCTGGCCAATTTTGTATTTTTTTGTAGAGATGCAGTTTCTCCATGTTAGTCAGGCTGGACTCAAACTCCTGACCTGAGGTGATCCACCCACCTTGGCCTCCCAAAGTGCTGAAATTATAGGCGTGAGCCATTGTGCCTGGCCCCATTTTAACCAGTTTTTAAGCGTAGAGTTCAGTGGCATTAAGTATACTTATACTGTTGTGCAGCCATCACCACGTTACCCCATCTACCGCCAGAACGTTTCGAAATTACCCCCACTCTCTTTTTTCTTTTTCTTTTTCTTTTCTGTTTTTGAGCTAGGTTTTCATTCTGTCACCCAGGCTGGAGTGCAGTTCATTAGTCGTGCCTCACTGCAGCCTTGACCTTCTGGCCCAAGCAATCCCCACAACTCAGCCTCCCAAGTAGCTGCTAGGACTACACATGTGAGCACCACACCTGGTTTTGTGTGTGTGTTTTGTTTTGTTTTGTAGAGATGAGATCTCACTGTATTGCTCAGGCTGGTCTTAAACTCTTGGCCTCAAGGAATCCTCCTGCCTTGACCTCCCAAAGTGCTGGGATTAACAGGTGTAAGCCATCACACCCGACCTAAAATCCACTTTTTGAGTGGAGTTTTTCAACACTATGAGGATTACATGAAGAAAAGAGCCTGGGCCTGGATTGGAGTTTAGGGTTTGGGGGCTTTCTAGAGAGTATTTGGTGGCCAAGGGGGTCATATGTCAGGTGTTCTGAACCCCGATCAACAAGGACGTGGTCTGTTGGCAGCTCCTGACCCCCGAGGATTACCAGCGATTTCTAGACCTGGGCATCTCCATTGCTGAAAACCGCAGTGCCTTCAGCTACCATTGCAAGACCCCAGATTGCAAGGGATGGTGCTTCTTTGAGGATGACGTCAATGAGTTCACCTGCCCTGTGTGTTTCCATGTCAACTGCCTGCTCTGCAAGGTGGGGCCGGGGACTCACCCCGCCCGGTCATTCATCCTGCTGGAGCTCACCACAGGGCAGTGCCTGTTCTCCTGGGAAGGGAGATGTGACACTGGCCTGCTAGTCATGACTTGGAGATGCATGTCAGTGGGAGAGTGTGGCTTGAGCCTGAACTGAGCCTTGGTCCCACAGAGGGAGTCCCAGACCTGGCCCCAGATGGAGCCTCAAACCTAGGGAGCCCTGGTCCACAATGGAGCTCTGCCCCTGGACCAAATCCTGTCCCTGGGCTGAGCCTAAGTCTGACCCTAGTCACAGACTGAATCCCAGTCCCACATTGAGCCCCGACCCCATCCAAGTCCACAGACCTGGCCTCTGACCAAACCTGACTCTGCACTTGTCACTTAAGCTGGTCCCATATTCAGCCCAGACTCTGAACCAAGCTCTGACCAAACCTGTCTGTCACAGACCAAACCCTGACCCTGGCCCTATACCACGTCTCCACCCCTGTGCTGAACTGAGTGCTGACCTCAAACCCAGACAGCCCTACCTGATCCTTCCCCCAGGCCTGTCCCTGTCCCTTCATCTCAAAAGCTGACCATGAAGGTGAGGGAGGAGCTGGTAAACACAACTGGAGTTTGGGCCTGTAACCCGGGCAGGGCCTAGGCAGGGATGCGGGGTCTCAACCCACGGGTGTAAGGGGTTTCTGTGCCCATCAGAACTTAAGCTGGGTGTGGCAGCACGTGCTTGTGGTCCCAGCTACCCAGGAGGGTGAGGTATCTATTGCTGTTAGTATATGTGATGACCCTGACTTCACCTCCCTGGCCCCAGTGTCCTCTTTTGTAAAATGGGTGTATGCTTTACAAAGTGAGGCCCTGCCAGTGACTACACCTAGAGGCGTTAAGTGCCTTTGTGGACTCCTGCCCTGCCCCTCACCTCTTCCAGCTTGTTAACCCTGAAGGAACCTTCTCACCTTGAGCCCCTCACCCCCTGCAGGCCATCCACGAGCAGATGAACTGCAAGGAGTATCAGGAGGACCTGGCCCTGCGGGCTCAGAACGACGTGGCTGCCCTGCAGACAACAGAGATGCTGAAGGTGAGGCTGCGACAGGGCCGAGTCCTAGGGATTTAAGTTCTGGGATCCAGGTGGGGACCGGGGGCTTCTCAGCAAGGGCTGTGCTCACATCCCTGGAGGCTCTGACCTCCTTCTGGCTGTCATTCCCATCCAGAGATGGGACTTAGGCCAAGTGGTCAGGTCAGGGAAGAGTGTCTGGGTGGAGGGAGGAGACCACAGGAATGAAGAGGGGGTCGCTGGACAGAGCCTGGCCGATGGAGCCGCACAGGAGAGACTCCACAGCTCCAGGGGTCACCACCTTCTCCCTGCCATGGGGAGGGGGACAGGCTGGGTGGCTGCCCCAGCCCCACCCCGAGGCCAGCACCTGCCCTGCTCCAGGTGATGCTGCAGCAGGGCGAGGCCATGCGCTGCCCCCAGTGCCAGATTGTGGTGCAGAAGAAGGATGGCTGCGACTGGATCCGCTGCACTGTCTGCCACACTGAGATCTGCTGGGTCACCAAGGGCCCACGCTGGGGCCCCGGGGTGAGTCTCACTTGTACTAGTATGGAGACGGTGCTCTTGTGGGGTTTGTCTCGAGGGTTTGGAAAACTACAGCCCATGGGCCACATCCAACCCAGCACCTGAATTTGTACAGCTCCTAAGGTAAGAATGTTCTTTTTTTTTTGAGACGGAGTTTTGCTCTTGTTGCCCGGGCTGGAGTGCAATGGTGCAATCTCAGCTCACTGCAGCCTCTGCCTCCTGCATTCAAGCAATTCTCCTGCCTTAGCCTCCTGAGTAGCTGGGATTACAGCATGCGCCACCACGTCCGGCTAATTTTGTATTTTTAGTAGAGACAGGATTTCTCCATGTTGGTCAGGCTGGTCTTGAACGCTCAACCTTAGGTGATCCACCCGCCTTGGCCTCCAAAAGTGCTGGGATTATAGGTGTGAGCCACCTTGTTTAGTTGCAAGAATGTTCTTTAAATGGTTGAAAAAATACTAAAAGATGACTATTTTGTGACATGAAAATTACATGAAATCCGCATTTCAGTGTCCCTAGGTAAAGCGCTTTGGAGCGCAGCCGTGCTCATTTATTTACATGTTGTCTGTGGTTGCTCTTAAACTCCAGAGGCAGAAGCCATATGGCTGCCCAGCCCAAAATGACTGGCCCTTTGCCGAAAAGGTTTGCCCACCCCTGCCCTAGAGGACAGCAAGTAAAGGTTCGATCTGGAGTTGGAGGTGGATTGGCCGCTGGCTCTGGCACATACCTCTCTCAGCCCCATTTCCTCTGTGAAATGGGGATGATAGCTGGGCTTATCTCAGGCTTGTTGTGAGAATCAAGTTGAAAAATTGCAAGAGACGTGCTTAGTGGAGGGCCTGTCACTTGGTGAGCAGTCTTGCAAATGGTAGCTGTCATGATTAGGGGTGTACTCTGGAACTGGGGGCTTGTTGTTAGGTTCATGTAGACTTTCAGTGGAGGTAGAGGAAACTGCCCTCTTGTCTTGCACGCTGCCAGTGCGCTATGTCTAGAATATGTGAAGAGTGGTCAGATCCTCTCCCTGCCCTGTTCCTGGATCTAGGTGTGGGTACACTGAGTGCTGTGGGAGCCCAGAAAAGGCCTCAACAACTCTCCATCAGGTAGCTGAGGCCGACAAGGCCATTTTTGCGGGAGGACCTGCAGAGGCAAAGGCCCAGGTTGGGAGAGTGGTCGGCTTTGAGGGTAATCTCTCTGCACTACGCTGACATTCTCTTCTTTTCCTGCCATCCTCTAGGGCCCAGGAGATACCAGCGGGGGCTGCCGCTGCAGGGTGAATGGGATTCCTTGCCACCCAAGCTGTCAGAACTGCCACTGAGCTAAAGATGGTGGGGCCCCATGCTGACCCAGCACCACACACACCCACAGGCTGTTATGGTGTAGGGCTGAGCTTGGGACTTTGGCTCCAACTTCTGGCCGGGAGATGCCTTTGTGCAGAGGCCAAGTCCCTGAGCTTTGGATGGCCTTGCTTGCTGTAGTGCTATAGGGCTCCGCCTGCACTGCTGTTGTCCATGGTCATATCTGCCCCAGTGCCTTTGTCCTTCCCCTGAGGCTTGCCAGCCAGACTTCTCTCTCCTGCAGCTCCCACCTTTGCCTGACTCCAGCCATAAACATGGCCCCTGGCCAGAGGCCTCACTGGGTGGAGCCTCTGTATGACTCCATGCTCCTCCCACCACAACGCTGGCTCGTCTGCCGAACATCAGCATTCACAGCCTCCCTGCCTTCCCCTGCTGGCTTTTTGGGGCTGACTGTTCTCTGCCTTTGCAGTTGGAGGCCTGGGGCCTCTTAGAACTCTTGCTAACCTGTTCAGAGCCAGAAAGGAGACTGGGCAGTTTGGAAAGCACAGCTCATCAGGTCCGGCTCTGCCTCTCCCTCTCTGCAGCCTGTGTAAGCTATTATAATTAAAATGGTTTTCCAGGAAGGGATGTGTGATGTCCTTGAGAGGAAGTGAATGTCCTGGGCTGGGACTCTGCACACAAGCAGGATCCCGATGTCTCTGGGAACTGCATCAGGAAGTTGACCTGTCAGACCATCTGTGGTAGAATGAGGTTGTGACAGCACTGGGACCTTTCTACCAGACTTGGCAACCCATGCCCAGCTTCAGGAGCAAGGATGCTCATCGTCATCAGCCAGGACAGGCGGAGTGTGCAGCGTGTCAAGTCTGCAGAGAAGGGTGGGCTTGGGGGCGGGAGGGGAAGTCTTGCCACTCTTGCTCTCTTTGACCTCTCAGCAGGCATCCAGGGTTGGCAAGTAGATAGTTGAAGAAGGAATGAAGCTGCTGCAGCTGAGGGGTGAGGTTGTCCATCCTAATTTTCACATCCCAGGCAAGAGGGCAAGGTATCAATTCAGCAGTATTTATTGGAACCCACTCTGTGCTGGTCAGAGGTTACCAAGACATGGTCCTGATGCGTTCGTTCTGTAAGTTTTTCCTCCATTCTGCGACCCACCCCTCTTCCCCTTTTGAGATCCGGTATTGTCACAGCAGGCGGAGGATGCCTCTGCTGCTGAAGGCCTGTGGTTTTGTGGGCAAGGGCCTGTTCTAGCCCCTGGAAAGGCACTGCCACCTGCCATCGGATGCCAAGACTCGAGAGGTAGCCCCAGTCACTCTGTGCAGAGATGTTCGAGTATGTGTGAGTGGACTGGGTCTTTCTGGCACTGCCTGTGTGGGCTCAGGACAGTCAACTGTGGCAGCTGATGAGAGGCAGGCTCAGGCAGCCTCCCCAGCCCTGGAGGCAGAAAGGCCCAGGCAGAGCCACCCACTGAGGGGAAAGGACAAGCTGAGGAGAGCCGAGCTGCAGGCGCGTGGATGGGCCCAGGTCAGGCAGACGCTGTCTCATACCCGCTCCTCCCTCTCCTGCCTCGTGTCTCAGGAGCGTGGGAACCAGAGGAAAACAGAGACTGTTCTCTGGTGGTGCCACAGGCTGTAACCGGAACACCGAATATTGTTTTAGAAATTTAAATTGGTTGCCAATATTTTTAAATTGGCAACATCTTTTGCCACATTAAAATCTAGATGCCTGGCTTCTCTTGAAATTGTCAAAGCTTCGTAATGCCAGGTCCTCACTTCCACCTGTGGGGACTGGAGTCACAGAGACGTCAGGTCTCATCATGGGGTGTACACCCTCCAGTTTGCCCCAGTCTTCATCACCCCAGGACTCACGCCGAGGCCGTTCCAGTGCCCTTGCATCATCCTTTTTCTCGTTAAGAGGAAAATGAAGTGGGTCTCTACCCACAGTGTATCACAAGTGAGGGCAAGACCCGCAGAGAGGGCAGTGCTGGACGCGGCTTTGCTTGGCCCGCCCGTCCGTGCTGCATTGGTGCGACCGGGTGCAGGCCGACCCCGGTTCCTGCCTCAGCCCCACACTCCTTGCACCTGCAAAGGAAAGGTCTAAGATGGGCAGGGTCAGGGCACCCTCTACTGCAGGGTCAGGTAGAGATGCCTCCACCTCCCAAGGCTCACCCCATGCCAGGGGCCCAGACCTTGAGAGCCCAGCACCAACTCTCCAGGGCAGAAAGAAAATCGGACCCCAAGGCTTTGGGCTTAAACCATCTAGAGGAAGCAGCAGGAGGTCCCAAATGTACTTGAGTGACACAACGGTCATTCTCTCCCCAGAGGCAGAGGGGGGTGAGTGGAAGCCCATTCCTCGGATAAAGAGCAGCTGCCACTGAGGGTGGCCCCGCAGCCTATGCTGGCGTTCACTGGTGTCTTCCTCTAGTGCCTGGGGCTGGCATGGAATCTGCTCAAGTGCAGGCAGCTGGAGGTGAGCCCATGGGCTGGCACTCCCAAGTGCCAACCACGAGGAAGTCTGGAAAAAAGACCAGGGGGTGGGAGTCCTCGTGAGGAGCAGGAATTGGCAGCAGGGGCCACCAGCAGAACACACGGAGGGGACAGTGGCAGGGGGAGGAAGATACAGCCAGTCTGGGTCTCAGCCCCATCACCTCTTAGCTGGATTCGGTGAAGCCTCCGGCCTGTTCCTCCTTCCGTCAGTGCTTCATCCCTGGGTGAGCGTGGGCCTGGTGCAGGGCTGGCTGTAGGTGTTTGTTCATCAATAACTGCTCACGAAAATGGCAACAGCACTAGCACAGCTTCACAAATCGAAACGCATTTCACCAACACCCTGGCAGGAGGCCCTCCAGGAGGGATGACACCATCCCTGCTTTACTGTTACGGACGTGAGCCTCCGAGAAGCAGTGACTTAGAAGCTCACACAGCCAGGAGGGAAGGGACACACTTGACCCTGTCTCAGAACCCATCAGGGCACCAATAATTCTTTCTTCAAACCCAGCTCTAGTCAAGACCTAGCTTCACCCCCAAATCACCCACAGGGCAGCCTCAACTCTCCCCAGTACGCCAACCATCCCCGCCCGGCCTGAGGCTCCGGACATGGCCACCTCCCTCCACAGACCGTAAACCCCAGCACTCCAGTGCTTTGCTGGCCCCAAACCACCCACACTTATTACTCATGTGTTATTTTTACACTGGCTTCCCCTCAGGCTTGCGTTCTATGGTGTTATCTGACACCACATTTCCAGCTCTCTGATAACTGGGGCTAGTGTCAGGGCCCACAAATTAAAGGGCTCAGTCCCATAAGACAGTCGCCACTTCCGATGGAGTCACAGATGGGGTGCCCAGGCAACCCACATCCTTCCTTCCTGGCCAACTACACATTCAGGGGTTCCCATGACTCCACCCCCTCAGGTTCAATAATTTGCCAGAATGACTCAGAACTGAGAACACACTGCCCTGACGCTTCCTGGCATGATGTCCTCAAGGCTGCAGTTCAGGTGGGAACAGCCACACCGAGGAGATGAACAGGCAAGATGGTAGTGACTGACAGTCACCGGAATCTCAAATTTTGTTTTTTTATTTTTTTTGACAAGAGTCTCGCTCTGTCGCCAGGCGCAAGGCTGGAGGGCAGTGGCGCGATCTCAGCTCACTGCAACCTCCGCCTCCCGGGTTCAAGCAATTCTCCTGCCTCAGCCTCCCGGGTAGCTGGGACTACAGGCGCATGCCACCATGCCCACCTAATTTTTTTTGTATTTTTAGTAGAGATGGGGTTTCACCAAGTTGGTCAGGATGGTCTCGATCTCTTGACCTTGTGATCTGCCCACCTCGGCCTCCCAAAGTGCTGGGATTACAGGATTGAGCCACTGTGCCTGGCCTTGTTTTATTTTTATTTTTTTTGAGACAGAGTCTTGCTCTGTCGCCCAGGCTGGAGAGCAGTGGTGCAATCTTGGCTCATACAACCTCCACCTCCCAGGTTCAAGCAATTCTCCTGCCTCAGCCTCCCGAGTAGCTGGGACTACAGGCACCCACCACCATGCCCGGCTAATTTTCGTAGAGACAGGGTTTCACCATGTTGGACAGACTGGTCTTGAACTTCTGACCTCAGGTGATCCGCCCACCTCAGCCTCCCAAATTGCTAGGATTACAGGTGTGAGCCACCACGCCCAGCCCGGAATCTCAAGTTTGTAAAGAGCTCCACCTCCAGCGCCCAGACTCCCAGGAGTCACAGACTGGGATTGAAAGTTCCCACCTTCTAATCACCTGGTCTTTCTGGTGCCAGACCGAACCTGAGGCAATCTAGGGGACCTACTCTAAACTTCATTAGCATGAACTTGAATGGGCTGGAAAGGAGCTTGTTATGAATAACAAAAAGAACTCACACTCAGGAAATTCCCAGGGCTGTAGGAGCCCCATGTTAGGAACCCAGGAAGAAGATCAAGTATTTCTTAGTATCCCACACACATCCTTCCTTCAATTCTCCAATTACCATAATTCCACTCATCCTTCACATTCCACCATCACCGTCTAAGAAAGCGCCCCTGAATTTGCTGCAGGATACAGATTGCTCCTGAGTGCAGCTCTGGTGTGAGCTTGCAGAGGCAGCACAGTGCCCTGGGCAGCCCTGCATACTCCACGACTGTCAGATCAAACAGCAGTGTGGCCCTGGCCCACAGTGGCAGGAGCTGAGTGCCACTGGCTGGGCCCCGGGAACCTGCACATCTTACCTCTGGGCCAAGGAAACAAACAACACAGACAGCATGTCTCCCTGTTGGCCCCATCCCCAGGATGGAGGCCCTGCACTGGGCCCTGCACTGCGCTCTCGCTCCCCAGCAGCCGGGAGTGTCTGGAGGATGTTGGAAAGCTCAGCAAGAGCAGGCTCAGCAGCTCCTCTGTAGACAGAAAGGGCATATGGAGGAGAAGTGGCACCACATCAAGCTCTGGTTAGGATCCAAAACCAAATGCCAGCCCCTAGGATCCCCAGACCAGGTGTGAAACGCAGGCAAGAGCACCCCAGACCCGCATCATTTGCATCAACTGCCACGGTACCGAGCGGAAAAAACACAAATTCAAACTGTTTTCCTCCTCTGCTCTCTCAACAACAAAAGACATCTGTGGCCAAATGTGTTGGGGATTTCTGCCCCCACACCAAGCAAGCAAGCAGTTCTGCAGCCTACACCAGCTGGGGTATCCTCCAACTCAATTCAGTGCTGACCCCATCTATACCATCTGGAAACGGAATACGCAGATTCAGGGCTCTGGCGCACAGGATCGCCCCCTCCGCCACATCAGACTGACCACCCTTTCAGGTGCAATGATTTGCCAGAGCGGCTCACAGAACTCAGGGAAACTTTACTTATGTTTACCAGTTTATTACAAATGTTATTAGAAAGGATACAAATAAATAAACAGCCAGATGAAGAGTCACACAGGGTGAGGTCTGGAAGGGTCCTGGGCAAGCGCAGGAGCTTCTGTCCCCATGGAGTGGGGGTGCGCCACCCTCTTGGCACATGGACAGATCTCCACATGTTCAGCTCTCCAGAAGCTCCCCAAAGCCGGTGCTCCTGGGTCTTTTACCGAGACATCATTGGATAGGCGTGGCTGACGCATGGCAACCGTGTTGAGATTGGACAAAA